GAAATTTGCACTACATTTTGATGCGATTACGAACTACAAAACCTGGCTCATTTGTAAAAACACTTATATGCACAGGAATACTGATGGGTCATACTTTTTTCTGAACTGAGCCATAATTTGTAAAAACTTATTGCAAAATGTAGTCTATTTAACGCTCTTCAGGTTTAAAACACAATTCTCGGGAAGTGTAATTTTTTCCTTTTTTATCTACTGATATGTGGGTCTTTTTTTAAACTCGGTTGGAAAATCATTCAACAATTTTAGCGGTCAAGAGACAATGCCGCATTTTAAAAATGGATTTTTTTTTTAGGAAATAGATAATTCATTAAAGAACATCTTCGTAAATCTTCTCCTGGAAATTGATAATATGTAATACTGTCCTTACGGGGCATTGCTGGGTCTATACAGGTATATCTGCAAATTTCGGTGACTGCTATGATTGACAAATTTTAAATTTTTCATCTTTGACTAAGCCTTAGTATGATTAGATGAAACGAAACTCGCTCACCTGAATAAGATATGTTTCCCTGAGTTATGCTGCATTTCCAGCTACATCTGATTTAAAAATTGAAGCGAATCTTTGGCGGAGATTTTGAATGGATTGTATGTCGTACGACGTTTTTCAACGAATGGGATTTAATTTTGTTCCCCTACGTAGCCAATGAAAACAACGGAGCTCTCTGAAGCATTTTTGACGAATCGCACAAGTGGTGTATATATTTAATGAAAATCGGTTAACTGCAATAATGCGAATCGATTTTTTGGAGGAGAGACTTCAATAATTGCAGTAAATATACGAGTATTTTTAGGGTAAATTTTGCAGCGTTTCATAGTTATGATGAATTGTTTTCATATTGATATTCTACCTCAAATGCATCGCTTGATAATCGCCTCTAGCGGATGAGATATCGATTTAGCTTCAGAGTTGCACCAGTTTACCCTGAATAAATGCATCAATTGTGAATTTTGTTGCCTCAAAATATTGGAGTTTCAAAATGCAATTGATACTCTTTTAATTTTTTTTTCTTTAGAGATTGAGAAGAGTTGATAAAATCATTTCTGCTTGGCGTGGATTCCCTGTTCATTGTTTTAAAATTTAATTAAAACATTGAGCGAGAGCATTACTTGTTCGTCGACGAATCATTTTTAAGGAGTACATCTAGACTTTAAAGTAGATTTTAATCCATGAGAAACGCACATCATATTATCTTCATAATTATCTACGCCTATGATTCGATATTTAATGTATCACGGTAAATTCATGTGATATTTTTGAATCGAAAATATTCAACACCTGCAACATAGAAAGGTGACGACCAAATCATGAATCATTAATGAGAAGAGAAAATTGAATTTCCCATTTTATCAACTGTATTTTAATTAGTGCATTTTTTAGGGCTGGTGCTGTCCTAAAAGAATGCTTCAGAATAAAAATAGCATGTGTCTGTTCATGGTTTTAAACACTGCCTCCGGGAGGTGTGTATTACTAAATATACTGGCTTCAGTCCTGTTGCTAAGAATTCCAGTAAAAGTAAGTGACAGCTAAGATTATGATTTTAACAACTTTGTGGAAAAACATAGTTTTGCAGCAATAGTACACCTAAAACTTACTTTTAGTATTACAAATGTTTGTTTTTGGCAAAAATTAAAATCAGAATTTTCTGTGGATACACTACCAACAGAGTAAGATGTGTCGGTAACGTAGTTGGATATTTCCTTGATGACGTCTTATTCACTTCATATATTAAAAAAATACTCAGTCGGTCGATTCAAAAGAAAAAATAAAACTTGCAAACATGCACATTGATTATCGATATTTCCCCGTTTGAAGCTATAGTAAAGCATTCATGATTATGGTGCACTGAAAGAAAAGGATGCTGATTCAACATTATGGATATAAAAAAGTGTGTAACAACAGACTCACAAAACGCTGAGTTAACCGCTACAGCAGTTACTTTAGCGATGTCAAGATGTAAAACTAACCTCTGTGGCGGTTAAGGTGATTCGATGGACGCCATATTTTGTGTCAGAACGGCATGCGATATATCGCATTGATTGGTTCCATTTTTTCAGCTACTCGTCATTTTTCTCCAATTTGGAGATCGCAATTCTGTTGGCAGGAGACTAAAGCACTCACTTACCAATTTTAACGAAGAAATTCAACGTAATAAAGGCGTGGTTTTTTCAGAGAGAAAATATCGCATTCGAGTGCAGTTTCGATATCAGTATCGAATGCGATGTTTTCCCTCTGAAAAAACGACGCCTTTATTACGTTGAATCTCTTTGTTAAAATTGGTAAGTAAGTGCTTTAGTATCCTGCCAACAAAATTGCGATCTCCAAATTGGAGAAAAATGACGAGTACCTGAAAAAATGGAACCAATCAATGCGATATATCGCATGCCGTTCTGACACAAAATATGGCGTCCATCGAATCACCTTAATTTAGTGTTTTGTGAGTTGTCGCACATCTTTTTACATCCAGAATGTTAAATCAGCATCCTTCTTGCTTTCGGTGTGAGCACCCTTTTCATCGATACTTTTCCATATGTTCAAATGACAGATCAATCGATAAATCGCAAAGTACGCCACGCCTATAGGGCGAATCAGAGTTCGTGACATCGCAGAGTTTTTAGGAACTCATTGAAAATTTTATGCAATTAAAATGTAAGAAATATGGAATAAATTGAAGTCAAAGTGGAAAGATTTAAAACCGAAAGATGAATTAGAATAAATAAGTCAAAGTGAAAAGATTGAAAACTGAAAGATGGAAACTTCGATACAGACAAATAGGCAAGTGGAGTCAAGACAAACAAGTGTTAAGATATACTTATAGGGACAGGTATGCACACAAGATCGTAGAGCGAGCAAGAGGCGAGACGAAACAAGTTCAACAGTGTCAAGAGAAATTACACACTACCTGATTGATAGGAAAGTCAACATCTATGAAATTCTGAGGATGTCAGTGCACATAAAATCAATAGGGAGTGCGGAACCGAGCTGAGGAGAGGCCTAAATAAACAATAACCAAACCAAATAGAATACTCTTCAAGCATATAATACAAGAGATGACAAGAGCAGTCTGTCATCCTAAGAGAGTTTGAAGTATAAAAAGGGGGTTGGAGAGAAAGTGCGTAACCCGAGCGAGCACCGAGCTATTTCCACGAAAAGCAATTCCACTCGAAATCGTGCAAGAGTCAATCCGGAAGTACGGGCACAAATAGAACTTTTGATTCTGGAAAAGTGCGTCGAGTCGTAGCTGCCACATCGGAGCTTTTATTCACTGAAAAAAAAAAGTTCGGTAAATCCGAACTAGTTAGGATGACAAGGAGCCAGGTTTTGTTCGGTACACACAATTATTTGTGCGACCGAACTATAACAAATTCTCACAGTTCGGCTCAACGGACCGAACAGCTGAGCAGACCGAATAATTCGGTTGTGTGTACCGAACAAAATCTGGTCCCATATCATCCTAACTAGTTCGGATTTACCGACCTTTTTTTTCAGTGTGAAAGCCACCGCGCTCTAAAGAAAATTGGATTCATTTACAACTAGGAAAAATGTATCTTTGGCGGTTTTTCATCGAGTTTGGACAAATGGATCGTATTCGATGGTGGTTCGATATATCGTTTGGTTCAAAACAATAGAACATAATCTCAAACAAGAATGTTAGGATTTAAGTTGGAAAAGCTGAAAATGAGACAATTCCTAACAATCTCACTTTTCATTGCCATTTGGTACTCGAAAGAATGAAAAATCAATCACAAAAAACCCGTTCCCTCAGATTTCTGAGTTGACTTTTGCGGCTATGTTTACATGTTGAACCAATCGATATCGATACAATCTCGTCTGTTGGATGTATCGAATACGATCTATACACGCTACGCATTCCATTAGGGAATAAGAGCTCTTATTCCTTAAAAGCTACGCCAAGGCTTTAAATTTCGACTACTATTGATTTAGAAAAAAGAGATAGGAAAAATAGCTGTTTCATAAGTTTTTCATGTAAATGACTATACGTAAATAACTCAAGATTTGTTTTTACCAAAAAAAACAACCATGATTTTTATTTGGAAAGTGCCTTGTAAAGAGCCTTTAAACTAGAAGCAAGCATGTACGTGAAGTATAAGAAATATTTGCATAATTAGCACCGCTGTACATGTCTTATTCTGTCTTTGTTAAATTAGGCTCTCTATACACTTGAAGTGATTTTCAAAGAGCCTCTTTGAAATGATCAATGCAGACATTTTAGATTATATCCTTCCGTAAACTTTGAAAGCATGTTCTTCAATTATTATTATTATTACCACCAGTATTAATATACTAAATTTTTCTCCCTATAATAATGGTAGGTGGCAAAAGCTTTCAACGTTGTAAGCTGGAACTTGTGTTTTAAATTTTTAACTTGATTCTCGGTGACAGCAGTGGCGAGGGGCGAATGATCGATTATCGATATCTGCCCGTTTGAAGCTGTAGTAAAGAATCGATTACTAAGGTGTTCATTGCGAGCACCCTGTTTATCGATCCTTTTCCGTAGTTTTTAAATGCAGCTCAATCGATAAATCGCACTCCACTGATTCTCGGTGACAGCTCAATTTTCTCTGCTTAGGAGCGTCGGTAAAGTCACAACGCATTTCATCCTATAATCAAGTTCCAAACTTACAACGCCTTGAAAGTTTCAACCCCCCCCCCCTCCCCGGGCCAATACTTTCAAATCGATTCTTGTGAGAACTGAGTTGAGGTTGCTGAATAGAGCAAAAATTCTAAGGACTAATTGCGGAAGAAAATGTGAAGAAGATTGGAAAAACTAAGAGTACGAGAGAAAAAAGAGGTAGGAGTATGTATAAATAGAAATAGACAGAGAGAGAGAGAGAGAGAAAGTAGGTGTCGAGACCAAGGTGAATACTAAACTATAAGACGATTCAAGTGCCAGGAGTTTTCGGGGTAATCATAAGATACTACCTTGACACCGCACGATAACGATTCTAATGACATAACGTACCTCGAGGCGTGCCTGTAATAAACGGACAAACATAGAAATGAATACATTGAAGAAAGTGGAAGAAAATAAAGATTTTAGTGCAATGCTTGTTTTGATGTGAAACCCTAAGACAATTTTGAGTACACATAATACGGAGGAGGTAACATCACGTTGAAATTTGTATTGGAATATATTTTTCAGGTTTGCACGCTGTAATAGCGCATTGCGCAATGGGTCAGTTATGCCATGCTAAGGAAAAACGCCGTATGAGCCTTCAAGCGTTCCGATAAAGTAAGAATTTTCAAGGAGACTGTTGGATATTTTTCTTCAAAATTTTCAGACAATTTTTCACACAATTTAATCTAAAATATCTGAAACTTTCAAGGAAAAATATGTATAACAAAACTCATATATACATGTTTTATCCGGGGCAATTTGGCAACTCTCGAATTTGCATATGGCCTTTTTCCTTAGCACGGCAGAGTTGCACTGGTCACAGAATCGTGTTTTGATGCTTGATTCTTGCAGATTAGCTAAAAATAATAAGCTCTATCCAAACAGCAAATTACTACATTCAATATTAACCGAGATATCGAGCTTTGTAGAAGTATGCTTTTAACGCCATCCACCACGGTAGTAACACCATTGGTTTCTTTCACCTGGTTTTATACGTGTTTTAAGTCGCGCAACCACTGCATACGTGTGTGTATTGCTGATTGATGGATCCAGGGTAGAAGGAGCCAAGGGTGTCAATACTGCGGTGGATGACGTCAAAACCGAGTTTTTCAAAGTGCGATATCTCGATTAATATTGAACGCAGATAGTTGCTGTTTGGACGGATCTTAATATTTATAACTTATCTACAAGAATCAAGCATCAAAGCACGATTCCGTGACTAGCGCATCTCACCCGTATCAAGGCTGTGCTTTCATTTGACGATTTTGGAGGGTTATTTGACAATAGATCATACGTTCTTTTCATCCACGAACTTACGCACTTTAGCGAAAAGAGATTCCATCGGAGGCTGACTCTGCACTGCGTTGCACTTAATTTCCGTGATCTCATACCTGCGGGCCGATTGTTGAAATTTATAGACAAAGCTATAGACAAAGAAGACATAGGGAGCATAAAACAATCCTATTGGTTGAAATGGGTGGTTCTTATAAACTAAGGGGGTGAATGATGGACTAACTATCGTGTCTGTCGTGGGTTGCCGTTAGTTAGTCTACTACCTGTGTCTTTTGTTCATTGCAACCATCCGCTTCCACTAACAGGATCCCTCCATATCCTTTTTGTCTTCTTTGTCTATTGCTTTGTCTATCAATTTCAATAATCAGCCCGCTGGTTCGAAATCTTCTACGTTACGTTAAAAGAAGAAAATGGTTCCAAACTTCGTCGTTTCCTGGTCGAAGGGACGTAACTTAACTACAAGGTTGCAACGATTAAAACAATTCAATTTCTTACAAAAATGTACCTGTGAAATTTTTTCCCACAGTCTCTCTGGTTATTACATGAGATCAGAGGAAAGGTCGATGAAATTTTCAGTAAAAATCCAAAAGATTACCCCACAAAAATTCAATTAGCGAGGGGAAATTTGGCAACATTGAAATGTAGTTACGCTCTTTCGAGAGGTAAACGACGAATTGCCCATTCGAATGAGCTAGTCGTATGCATATAAAAAATATGCTACGAATTTGCCGGCCAGAATCTGAAACTTATCCAAATTCATACGGAGCCTCATACCAAAATCGGATTTGGTGGACCCTCTATCGTGGGTAGCGAGAAGTTCACGCAGGAATATCGGAAAAAGATCAAAGCGTTCCATCAAATGCGGACGTCTTTATAGCTCGACCAATCGACGCGACGCGACATAACGTTCGTTGAGTTAATGCTGAACCCTCAGATACAACTATTCGTACTCGAAAGCTATGCTTCTTGCATGCAGAGGAAATGAAGGCGCTCTGCCTTTGCTCAAGCGTAAGCTAGCAGATTATCGCGCGACGTTCAGAGTAATACCTAAACTGTGCTTGCTTTTAGATCGGTCTGAGTATTAATTTAGGGCGTCGGCTTGGCAACTCTGAAGCTGGCTCAAGTCAAGACTCACAAAAAAAAAACGCCCTCCCTCATGACAGATCGCCGAAATCCAAGACTTATCCCCATATAACTCTCTGTCAAAACACAGGCTTCGCGAAGTCAAGGAGCGATACAAGTTAGAGGATACTTTGATAGGGTATAATCTGGGGTTAGCTTGAGTTAAAAAGGCAGCAGCCTAGCACACTCTTGCATAGTCTTTGTAATGCCTTCACCACAGTTCAAATACCTCAGGTATAAGTGTAAAAAGATCTTGTTGTAACTAAAATTGTTGCATTTAAAATCAGGACTGCTTCCTGATATAGTACATTGACGGTAAAACCAAGCCACGTATCTCGGTTTGCAACGTTGCAGACTTTCTGTCATACTTGGACCACGTTAGGCAGAAAGAAACCAAGCCACGCCAGCTTATTGCCTTTAATCGAGCAATTTAATTTTTCACATGAAAACGGTTGTGCGGATTTTTGTGCAAATTTCAGTGAATTTTTCGCATAGTACAAAACAGATTCCTTAAAAATTTCGAAAAAATCCGCACAAACGTTCTCTTGCAAAAAAATAAATTGCTCGGTTTAATTTGGCATTAGCTGATGTGGCTTGGTTCCTTTCTGCTGGACGCGGTTCATTTAGTCCATTTAAAATTATGACTTAATTCACCCAGATATAATATATCTATGGTGGAACTCGCGGAACAAGTATCTCGGCTTGCGACGTTGCAGAATTGGACGTATTTCTATCAAACGGAACTATGTGCATTATGACGTGAGCCCTGTTAAGCACATACTCTTATGGGTTTCAGGGCTCATGTCTTAATGCACATAGTTCCGTTTGATAGAAATACGTCCAATTCTTTTCTTACTTCATCTTTTAAATGCAGGACTACTCACTGCCGATTCTTAAAAACTTTCCCTCGGTCCTCTCAGTGCGAAGCAAATCCTTAAACAAATTTCAAAGAATGGTTTTGATTTGTTTTCATTGAAAAATATAAAATGGGAGCGAAAATCCTAAAGCACTGCGAAAGAGATACGTGATTCGGGACTATGACCGTCAATATGTTATTTCTGCTTTATACTCATTGGTTCCAAATTACGACTTAGAAGTTAGAGGTGAATGAACTTTTACTGGCATGTACTTCGCAAGTCTCAGTAAGTCTTCGTATTCAAGTGAAATGTATCAGCCTCTTTTGCATGCGTCAGTTCGACAAATTTTTCTTTTCGGTTTCTGAAATTCTGAAACCATATTATTCAAGCGGTAGCTTTTTTCTCAAATTAGACTTTTCTGATCCGACATCGGTTGAGAAGGGAAAAACATTTATTTTCTTCGAGTGTAAGGATCACATGAAAGTGGGGATGACAGCGTTGATTCAATCAATGTCAAACATCGCTTCGCCACAAAAAGAAGGTTGCACTGCTTTAGTTGCGAGGTACGAGCGGAATCACTCGATCCTTTCAGAGCTCCAGAGTACGCTTAGCTTGAATTTGGACGCATTTCTGCCAAACGGGTCTATGTGCATTAGAACGTGAGTCCTGTTATGCAAACAATCGTATGGGTCTCAGGGCTCATGTCTTGATGCACTTAGTTCCGCTTGACAGAAATACGTCCATTTAGGAAAAGAGAGACCGCAAAAAGGAAAGGAAAAAATTGGACGGTTTTAAGTTGAGAATTTAAACATTAAAACAATATTGAATCAATTTCAAAAACTTCGGCTAATTTGAAAAGTCACGAGGGTGTTTTAAATGTATTATTTTTGTGGGTTGAATTTCGTTGTACAGATCGTGTTTTATACCTGATATTTTGACAATATAATAAAACACTTATCATAATGATTAAGGTGATTTGTCAAGGTTTCTGACGTGGTCGAACTGGCATGCGGTATACCGCATCGATTATGACAAAAACCAGATTATAGATTTTTAGCAAAAAAAAAAAAAAAAAAAGACGATAGTCCCTAGGCGCATGAGCCTCAGAAAATTGGCAACATCCGAAGAAATGAAAGTAGAATCCTGTTTCGAGAGAAAACTCGCATCCAATACAGTTATCGATCTCTGTATCAAATGCGAAGTTTTCTTCCAGACAGAAGTCTATTTTCATTTCTCTAAATTTTGCCAATTTTTTTAGTTTAAAATGATTCTTCAGGCTCACGCGCAGGAACGATCTTTCTATTTACTGAACACTCAGAATCTGCCAAGATTTTTGACATAATCGATGCGATATATCACATGCCAGTTTGGCTATGCCAGAATCCGTGACGAATTACCTTTAATTCGTACTATGTCTAGTGACCCATTACAAAAATGGTTATAAGTTTTCATTTTCTCTTAATAGTAAAAATTTCTCTAAGTCCCTTGCAATTTAAATGAGCACCGTCGTTTATGTCAACAAATAAAGTTCTCGCTGCAAATACCGAAGGGATAAGACACCCGGGAGGTCTAAAGCTGCTGACGGGCAGCTAAATACATATTTGGTAACTTGATAGTTTGCCTATCGCGATAACATGAACTCGGGTCGGGGTGGGTTTTACAGACCGGGAACAACTCTGGGTCGTGTTTTTGTGTTTCGTTTCGTTCTCCCCTCTTTTCATCACTTGTTATAAGCTCTATCTAAACAAACATTTGTCCAGTGCAGCTATGCCGACACGACCTCCGACCCGACCCGTTATGCGTAGCCAAGTTATAATGCCCATCTACGAATTTATCGATTGTGTATCATAAACACATTGAATGATATAATTTTAAATTTGTCCATTACTGTCCGAAGGACTAAAACGTCCCAGATGTGCCCCTTAACATTTTTTGGCTTTGTCATACCCGTTTCCTCAATTCATCTATTATTCTTGTATTCTATCGATGCAGAAGTGCGCCATGGCCTGGAGCATCAACAATGCAACAATACTGTTACAAACAATAAGTAAACAATACTGTTATCAATATTGTTACCGCTACGCC